TCTTCTCTGGTCTCTCTCTTTATGCATTAGCTTAAAGTTAAGAACGGAATGAGTGCGTCTCTCTTCGTCGAAATTCGGCAAAAGGTTGGTGAGAGTTTCGCGGTTGGTGAGAGGTGCTGACCTGAAGTGGTTGTTGAAGCTATTTTGGGCCTCTAACCGTAACATCAGTCACCCAGAGACGGAAGGTTGAAATCTTCCGTGATAATCAGGAACTTCAGGGATAGGATAGCCTTTACCTTCCGTGAATTGATGGAAAGCGCTTTCTGGATGATAACCAAACCAATAAGCAACATGCTGATAGATGTGAACAGACTGAGATAGATAGTATGTAACAACTCTTTTTATTGATATTAGATATAATCCCACATCCTAAAATTATTAAATTTTTATTTCTTAAAAATACGGCCTTGACCGCCTTTGAATTGTGTCAACGGTTGAATTGCTAATTTCATATGTAGCGTTCAACGATTGTTAAGTTCATATATAACATTCAACGACAGGATGTGTCCCTACACTAACTGAGCAGAAAGATCATCACCACTGTACACATATATCTATGCCATTGTATATAATTTTGGGGTTCTGATTTTTACCCATCCCCGTGAATTGTATAAATAAAACTTTATGCTAGGGCTTTTCATTGAGAAAATGAGGTATTTTGGTGACTGTAGTGCGACAGTTAAGAGTAAATGAGATGTTATGATGAAAGGAAAATTGTAAGTACGAATGGGTCAACGAGTGAGACTAGCTAGTTTTAAGGTAAGACAAGAGAAAGCAAGTCTTTTCTTCATCTCCATTTTTTAGCCTTTGTGGCACATTTTGTATTTCAATACAAATAAATATTAAGCTGAGTCTAGAAACTTTTTGAAACCCTGCTTTACTGCGAGGGTGAAAACGAAATCTAAAATTAGACTGGCTTCTCTTTCTTCCCGTTCTATATTTGTCTACTTTATGCGCTGTGTCCCTCTCAGGACAGAGGTGATCTCCACCATTTCCTGTCCTTGCCCGTCTCCCCTGAGTACCAGAGAGGTTCCCTTCTTCTTCATTATGTGCACCAGGAAGCTCAACTGTCTCGTCCTGATATTATAATCCATTCTTTTTCAATTTTCTCCAAGACTTCCTCGTTGCTCACATGTTCGGTACATGTAATCATTCTGTAAAACGACATTTTTGAGGAGGCCGTCCAGCGCTCACTGCCATGCAGAAAGACATTGATTTTAGTACCCCTTTCCTTCTTTCTAGCGAAATTTTTCTATTTCTTTGTACTCTGGTTAACTTTTGGAAGGCACCTTTCGCTATCCCATTGCGCCTTCGGATTTCCGACTCACACTTTCCGTCCTCTGTTAAAACACTTCCCGGATATTTTACTGTTTCTTAATACTTTGCTTAGCTTTTGGAAGGCATCATTCGCTATCCCAATGCGCCTTCGGATTTCCGTCTCGCACTTTCCGTCCTCTGTTAAAACACTTCCCAGATATTTTACTGTTTCTTAATACTTTGCTTAGCTTTTGGAAAGCATCTTTCGCTATCCCAATGCACCTTTGGATTTCCGTCTCGCACTTTCCGTCCTCTGTTAAAACACTTCCCGGATATTTTACTGTTTCTTAATACTTTGCTTAGCTTTTGGAAATCATCTTTCGCTATCCCAATGCGCCTTCGGATTTCCGTCTCGCACTTTCCGTTCTCTATTAAAACACTTCCCAGATAATTTACTGTTTCTTAATACTTTGCTTAGCTTTTGGAAGGCATCTTTCGCTATTCCAATGCGCCTTCGGATATCCGTCTCACACTTTCCGTCCTCTGTTAAAACACTTCCCAACTATTTAAATTGCAGGAAGGAATGAGTTAGTGGGTCGATATTCTGCTACCGCTACTCTTCAGAAGAGGAACCTCCCTAAGATCGGACATGCAATTAATTTTTCGAAAACAAACAAAGGACTCTATGTGGAGATGATGGGAATTAACGAAATCCCAAACCACATCAGTCCCCGTGCCAGTTTTGGAAGGAGGTCCATATAAGCAGAAAGTTCCAGACACCGAACAAGAGACGACCGCTTCACCTGATCTCAAGTGACTTCTTGCCTGAGAAAACCTCCGACTTAAGTTGTTCCAGAAGCCTTGTCTAGACTTAGTCACGACGAACAAAGTGTCATGAAATATTCGAAGAGGGAATGGTCGATAACATTACACGACGAATATGTTTCCACATGAAGAATATATATTCCTGCCTGAAGAACTGATAATTGTACTACCAGCACTGTACAAGAAACGTTATATAAAACATTTTCTTTTATACAATTTATTTTTTACTTATGACTTCACTCTGTCCAGATCAAACCAATTCAACGATTCCTTCAATATCTGTCTATATTTCTGAGAATTTCAGTACCTCTTCTTCGGGGTGGTAATGGCCACAGTGAAACAGTAGATTTCGTAGTAACATCACGGTGGATTAATGGAGAGCGGCTAGAATTGAGGAATCAAAGAGTCGAGTTCATTACATTCACTTACACACAAATGCCCTTCGGAAAGGTATGAATCCATCTATGAGTAATTCTCAGTACAGACTGAGTTTTATAGTCTATCTTGCCTTAGATACATCACTTCGGTTTCAGTACATGTGGAGTCGGTACAAATGATTACGAGACCCGTGACCTCGTCAGAAGTGTGAGGGACACCGTAAGATTCAAAATAGCACACGTCTACGATAATAAAGTCTAAAACCTATCGTTAAAAAGGTTAATGAAAGTTCATCCTGACATTACAAAACCAATTAAAAAATAAAGATTATACGAGTGGGAAATGTAGTCAGTGTTTTTTTTTTTCAAGTCTACAGACCCATTGATTTATTCCCGGCCGCATGGAAGTCGAACTCGTCTTTCCCCAATCCGAGCCGCTATCCATTACTGCACCGAAGCCAGTATCCGCTGTTTCATACACGAGCATCGCAATTAATTTAGTAACGACAGGAAGAGCAACACGAAAAACGTAGTAGTTATTTCACTCATTTTATTCAACAACCGCTTCGAGCGACACCTCCCTCTCTCGGGAACTCACAAACAACGGGTGTAACTCATCAGTGATTACTGATGATACAGAGGTAATACCTGAGGGGACGACACTCACTGGTTGTTGTCAATAATTTTAAACTACTCCGCTGTGTGTAAGCTATATTATGCCCATGCCGGCTGTCAATTAAAGAGTAATAATGAACGCTTGTGCGATCATGAACAACTAGACAGCACTCATTATCCAAAGGGCGGAAAAAAAGCAAGAAAATTTCCCTCCAAGATGTGAAACATATCAGCCTGCACAATGGGCGCACGACACCACAGTGAAAGAAGGCGTATTCAATTTGATTCCTCACAGTACTGAAATCGCCAGCCCCGCGTAAGCTTCCGTCAGGTGAGTGATGACTCGTCGTTATAACCCAGGTCATCCGGGCACTGAGCGGGGTGGTGGAGGTCACGGCATTTAAAAAAGACAAATATGTAAAGAAAAGCTAGTCTGATTTTAGATTTCGTTTTTCACCCCGCAATAAAGCAGGGCCTCAAAAATAAGTCTATAGACTCATTGATTTAATTCCCGGCCACGGAAATCTTTAGTAAAAGGCGAAAGATTTATCCGCAAATCAATGACCGGAAATCAGCGTAAAAAATTGGGAAACGACGGCCATTTAGTTAACTCAAGATTCGTGCAACAATTACTGGGCTGACATTATAATAAAGTCTTAATTATTAATTTAAATTTAGACATCAAGAAGCCTACTTATACTTACTCTATTTGTATATATATTATACATAGATTATATTAGAAATATTTTCTAAATAACTACAAACACGGAAATAATATCAACTTTATGCTTCACACTGCCGGCTAATAAATACAATGACCTTCACCTTTGTACAAGTGCTACTTGTCATTTCTCTATAAACGTTTCCCGATTAAGACTTTGAAGAGACTCGATAAATACAGTTTAACTGGACACTAATTGCTTACTTGTTTTATTAGTAGTATTAATGAGTAATCAATAATTTAGTAAACCATAACCTCTTCAGTTATTTCCTCTCATTTGTTTGAGACAAAAAAAAAAACCAAAAAAAAAAAAAACCAAAATAAACAACTCATCACTCCTAAGGGAGATAACCATATTGACATCTTACTATATGACAGCTTCATATCAATTAGGATGTTTGGTTGCTCGTAAAAACTGCGTTAGATCTGATTATAATACGGTGATGAAGATTTAGAGAATTATTAAAAAAAGAATAAGAGCTTGTATTTTGTTCAACTGGGATTATGGTCGAAATGGGGCTCTCCTTCTGGAAGGAAGTGGCAGAGAAGGAGTAGTTTTTTTCCCCCCGTCGAAGTAGATGCTGCAATTGTAGTACTTGTTCTGTTCTGGAGGCCTTCTCTCCTCCTTTGCGTTGTTCTCCTCCCCGTTGCGTAACATTTGTTCCGTAGCGGTAGTATGATCGGCTATGATTAGCTTAGACAAGCTCTGACCAGCTTAGACAAGCGGCTCAAGCGAAAACACTCGGGTCCCCACGTTAAAAAACACCAAAATTGTGAAGGATCCATTTCAAGTTATGGAAAATTATTTTTTCGTATATACTGACCAATGAGAATCGTGGTCTCAAGCTTTAGTAAGAATCCGAATGGGAACCTTGTGAGCCTATTTTATGGAATAAATAGAACTTAAATCAGTAGATGGAGGTATTGCGGAAACGAAGAATGAGTAACCTGGAAAGCAGAACTTGTCGCTGTTGTTGTTTCTGCTGAAGAGGTTAATTTCTTTTTCGCCTAAGTAAACGTAAATTCGAGGAAAGTAATACATCGTATTTTGGGTAAATAAATGTATAATATTTACATATATACAAAGCCAGCATACTACTTGTTGCAGTTGTAAAAGGCGACAGAGTGGGGAAGGAAGAAAGAAAGAGAAAGAGTGTTGGTTATGGCTCTCGGCTGATGTTTTGTAAAGACAGTGGCGGCGAAGGATGACAGTTGAAAAGTATCGGGTTCAGTCTCAGTCTGCCTGCAGCGTTCTTGACCGACCTCTGCCTGTCGACATCTCAGCCGGGTCTCTCTCCCTCTTTATCTCTGTTCTTTGCGACGTTGGATCAGGAAATTTATATCCGTCGTATCAGCTCCATCTCACAGTCTGTGTCTTTTAGCGGGAGTTATTTCTACTGGTCAATATATAAAGTTCATTTTATCATTTAATACCGAAAACATGCCTCGAGCCATGATGCACAGAGACGCGTTTTCGCATTCTGCCTTGGGTCGTCGAGTAGTCAACATCCGGTTTAGTGTAAGAAACACGACAAGCCCCCCCCTTCTAGAAAATTGATCGGTTAAAAGCCGTATCAATTAATAATTAGTAATAAATGTATGTCTTGAAGTTTGTAGGAAATGTGACTTTTCTACCTGATCTGGTTTGAATAGTCGGTGTATTGTCGGATTGTGACGTATTTTTTTAGATTTGGGTGTTTCTTGTACATAAGGAGAATGTGTGTGTGGTTGATTTTCTTTTTCTAAGACAACTATCAAGACTTATTGACAACAAGACATTTGGCATCAAGAAGGCACCAGTTACTAAGCCAGCTGCATCGAGACTAAAGAATTCTGAAGTTCAAGTGAAAGTTCTCCTGCGGTTGGACAACAAAGAAGGGAAAAGAAGTCAAATTAATTTTCCCAAACACGAACAGTGTGATTTTAAGAGGACCTTTTCCAAAATTACTTTGTCGTGTCCACTAAAATACCAAATACAATATTTATAAACCAATCACACCCAATAAAGTGTTTACATCTTAAAACAGCACACCAATCAAACCATAGGATGCAAATCAGAAAGGTTGTTTTATTAGTCATCATGAACTGCAAGGCAGTTTATTATGTCATGAAGGCACTGTTTTCTGATCCATCTTTAGTAACCCTTATTTCAATTGCAAACATTTTCTTGAATTTCATTGGTTGTTAAATGCAAAATAAGCTTCGAGAAATTCCCATCACGAATCAGTCAAATTTTGTGTAAAAGTAGGCTCAACTGACTTAAATTCATTCCTAATTTAAATGTTTCAAGAAATCCTATTGGATAAAAACTAGAAAAATACAATCTCGCCCAAGCATTTCTTGGAATTATTGTCAACGCCTGCCAAGCTTCCGTTGAGCCGTTAAAAAAACAAAACAAACTATAAATACAAACAACGAACAAGTTTTCGGCACATTGAGATTTTATATACAATAAATAAATTGAGATTGTGGCGGACTTCACCACATTAATTTAACTTAGGAAACCAAACTGACGTGAAGAAAAAAAAGGATAAGCCAAAGACATCATTACACATAAAATTTGTATTTAACAAAATGTACAAACAAGGATGTCAAAGAAAGGCATGCATTGAGTAAAACAAGAGTTGTCTCTCTTTAACTATCAATTGTTCCAAAGTTCACTTAAAAAAATAAGGTTGTAATAGTTTCTAGTAATAAATGTTTTCAATAGTTTTGCTGTGTAAGAAAAAAGATTATGTGAATATAGGGAATATTCAACATGTGAGTGGTGGTGTGAGTTAGAAGGTTGACGCTATCGTGGATTCCTGTGGCAGCTGAAATCTCACGCTATTTACTAAGAATATTCTTTGCTTATATAGGTGATCATCGGCTCCGAAAGTGCTGCGCGGGAAGAATCACTCTCCACGTGCAGGCAATCTGATTGGTTCGCATTGATCAATCAGCGAGCGAGCTTTGGGGAGACTCATGAAAAACTTCTAGCATCCGATTCTCCCAAAAGTGCATAAAATCGACTACATGAAAATATAGCGATTATAAAATTATCGCATTACACAGTAGTCTAGATTTATTATCCAATGAATGCTTGCGGTTGTATAATTTGAATTTGCGTAAGTATGTATGTATGTGATGATGATCATCATCACAAGATTCTCACACGCAAGGGATACGCACAGAGATTTATTCGCATGTGTGGGGTTCGGCGTACGCGGATTAAAGGAGAATTTAATACGGGATACCCTGCCCACAAAATACAACGCAAATCTCAAGAAGAAACAACACGATAAGGAACGTTTATAAAAAATAGAACATTGTACATTTATTATCTTGTGAATAGGGTAAAAAGGATTAATGTTTTAGTTCGTTTAAGCAAAATTGTGATTTTGATAAAAATGTCTGTGTTCGTTGTCTTTTAACAGAGTAGCAGAGTAATATATATTTTTATAGTTACAAATGAAAAAGGGGCGAGCAATTTAAGTTGAAAAAGACAGTGTGAATGAGGAATAAGGATAAACGGAAAATGTACTTATGAATTGTTTTGAAGTCAGTTGTAAATTTGTTGTTGTTGTTGTTCCTTCCTACTCCACTTTCGGGTTGAGTCAGTGATGAAATTTACTGTCAATCTTCTGTGATCTTTTGCGCCCTTCTCTGACTGACTGACTGGCGACTGACATGAAAACTCTGTATTTATTGTTGACTTCTTTTTTCACACTGGCTCGTTATCTTATTTTTTTTTTTTTTGGTTTAGCAAATCGCCTCCTTCATTGGTCAGAAAATTAATTTCACACCTTATTGTGAAATCTGTTTTTGGTCGTTTTGATCCGATTTTGCGGGTGTGCAAATCTACTTTGTGTTTTTTTTAGTCATTTGTTGGAATATAGGATTTGTATCCTATACATGCAGAAAGATATTTACGCACGCAAGGGAGATACAATCCCAGAGAGACACCAAGAAAGAACTTACTTTTTATACTGCATTTTGGAACAAACTTCCTTTATGAAAGATTCGGAAAATTTCAACGACAAACCTTTTCCATTCAATATCTTTCTTAGAAAAAATTTTGTCTGATTTAAGTTTTTTAATCTTTATAGTAAAAGGCAGACAACTTTTACTTATTTTCGGCATTGAACATTTCTGAAACAGTAAAGAACTTTTTCTCTTAAATATACTCTCGCACACATCATTACAAAACAAAAATTGTGTAAAAATTAATTTGTTGTTCCAAACCTGCCCCTTTTGTCGTAAATGAATATCGTTACCATTTGACCCTTTTTTTTTTTTAATAATTTATGTTTGTGGATGTTGCATGTTTTTGGCAGCGCAACTTTAAATATTCGCGCAGCTTTCCTAGATCCACAACACATCCATACGGGTGTTTACTTTTTCGCGTTTCTGTTTACCTTCATTTATTTATAAATTCTTGTATGCAAGAAGAACCAATATCTTTAAATGCAAACCTGTTATTATTTTTTATTAGATTACGAGTTCTCGCAACCAAGAAAATTATTCGTACAAAGGAATAATTTTCTAAAATTTTAAGAGGAAATAAATGTTTTTTTTTTCACCTAACACAAATTTACATGCCCAAGAAAAGTTAGTCTAATTTTAAACTTCGTTTTCACCCCACAATAAAGCAGGGGTTCAAAAATAAGTCTATAGATTCATTGATTTATTTCCGGTCACATGGAATTCGAACTCGGCTATCCATTGTTGCCTGTGGGGACGGCGTACACAAGCCGTTGTCAATAATTTTTAAATTTTTTAATTTCTTACAGGGCTATTTGACCCCATTTGTCCTGATCCTAGTTGCGAAAAAGTGAATGCAACGAATTCGAAAGAAAGAGAAGTCAGTCTGATTTTAGATTTCATTTTTCACCCGGCAATAAATCAGGGCTTCAAAAATAAGTCTATAGATTCATTGATTTAATTCCTGACCACGGAAATCTTTAGTAAAAGGCGAAAGATTTATCCGCAAATCAATGGCCGGAAATCCGTGTAAAAAACGACGGCCATTTACTTAACTCTCCATTAGTGGAACAATTACTGGACTCACATTTTCATAAAGTCATAATTATTAATTTAATTGCCAATATTAAAAACATTCTCACCTATCTACTATTTCCATATATATTACGGATATTTTTCATGATGAAAGATTTTCGACCTAATTGGAAATGTTGAAATAATATAATACGCTACCTAAGGTGCTAACTTCTAAATACAATGACCTTCACCTTTTATTTTGTTAATATTCAGTAATTTTTTTCGGATAAGTGCTCGTTAAGAGACTTGATCCACCCGTTTTAACCGAACGATTCTTACTTCTATTACTAGAAACTAAATAATCAATGACCTTTGACTTTAGAAATATCCTCTTTTTTGTTGGAAAATAATACTTATATGAAATAAAATCTAAGGGAGACAACCACAAATTGTAGCATTAATTGATTCTCTCCCTTTAGCCACATAACCTTTTTCTTACACATTAGTATGAATTATTATTCTGAAAAATTCTGTTGCACACAAGTTTTTAACTATGTAGTTAATTAAAATTGGGAGGTAAAAGTTAATCTCTTAAGAATAAGAGCTTAATTTAGGTTAGGATATATTTTGACGATAAATATATATATATATATATATATATATATATATATATATATATATATACACTAACAGTAATACTCGTTTGGTTAAAACTTATAAATATGTCAAAACAAATCAGTACCTGAGGAAAAAAAATTAGAAATAAAAAAAGAAAGAACTAAAACATATGAACACGGCGAAATAAATCGACCATTGACTTAAGTTTTTAGTCCAAAGGAAAAAACCTTAAGTGAGTAGTAAGACTAAAACATAGAGTGCTCAATACGCTAAGTAGAGTGGGAATAACTAAAATAAATCCTAAAGAGCCAGGAAACTTACCTAGGTTTCACCTAAACGGATCTTCAGGTAAGCTGGCTCTCTCTCTCATATATATATATATATATATATATATATATATATATATATATATCAATTAAATCCTACATTTTACACACACACACACACACATATATATATAAACTAAAATAAATCCTAAAGAGCCAAGAAAACGTACCTAGGTTTCACCTAAATTGATCTTCAGGGTAAGCTTACTCTTAAGATCTGTTTAGGTGAAACCTAGATATGTTTTCCTGGCTCTTTAGGATTTATTTTAGTTTGTCACTTAACTGATTAACATTCAGCAACCAGACTTCAGTGTTTTGTATATGGGCCCTCCAGTAGTTGCTCTGTCCACTTGTCAGATGGCATCAGCAATTGATAAAATTGTGCATTTGGGCAGTAG